CTTTGAAACGGAGATGGCGTTTTCTGGACTAGAGAGACGAATTGCGGAAGTAGATGGTCTTGTTAAAGCCACGACGAATACTATGCAGGTTCAAGTTGAATTACTTGATAAGAAGATTGAAAGGGAAACGAAATCGTTGAGGCAAGAAATCGAGACGAAAACTTCTGTGTTCCAGAGTGAATTGAAGAAGATAGAGTCTAGGACTGGTGCATTAGAGAAGTCAGTAGATGAAGTAAATGCTAAACCTTGGGTGTCTAGAGATGAGTTAGAGAGGATTTATGAGGAATTGAAGAAAGGTAATGTTGATGATTCTGCGTTTAGCGAGGTTAGCATCGATGAATTGAGGGCTTATGCTCGTGAGATCATGGAGAAAGAGATTGAAAAGCATGCTGCAGATGGTCTTGGTCGAGTAGATTATGCATTGGCTTCTGGTGGTGCTTTTGTGATGCAGCATTCAGATCCTTATCTTGTTGGAAAAGGGAGTAACTGGTTTGCGACAAGTAGTCGACGTGCTCATACAAATGCGGTCAAGATGTTATCTCCGAGTTTCGGGGAGCCTGGGCAGTGTTTTGCTCTGAAAGGTAGCAATGGGTATGTTCAAATCAGGCTGAGAGGACCAATCGTACCAGAGGCTTTCACATTGGAGCATGTAGATAAGGTAATGCTACTTGCACTACTATAGATTTATATCTTAGTATCAGCTTTCTCCCTGTATACTAAGACCTTTTACCGATTGCATTTCCAAAATATATTAGCTCACATACATGAATGTCTGTATAAAATGGTTTGATAGAAATGCCTGGTAAAAATGATGGAATATTCTTTGTAAAGGTTGAGGCAAGGTACAAAATTTATGAAATCGTGTGGTTTAGCCTCGGGGGTTAGTTTAGGTTAGTAGATGCTAAAATCTGCACTGTAGTAGCCTCGAGGTTCCTTCTCCAGTTCTCTGCGAGCCACTTACCTTTAAGGGATTCTTTAAGACCTTTTTGCATGTTTTTTTTGCATTCTTCTTCGTGGAATTCATTACAGTCCCACTCTATCAAAGGATCTCAAATCTTTGTCAAGGAGTCAACGTATGCATAAATGGATATTTTGATCTTTTTGTGTTATCTTCTGTTTCTATATATGATTGCTGGAACTGATAGTAAAAGAGGGAAATGGAAAAAAAAGAAGATTTTCGAATAAGCTGTTTTCTTTTCACTGTTTTTTAGTCTAATTTTGGAGAGTATATACACTGACCTTGATGCATTGTGAAAATGAACAGAGCGTCGCGTACGACAGATCGAGTGCTCTGAAAGATTGTCGTGTGTCAGGGTGGCTGCAAGGACAGGAATCCTCAGTCGAGACAGAGAAGATGCAACTTCTAACAGAGTTCACCTATGACCTAGACAGGTCGAACGCACAGACATTCAACATCTTAGATTCATCAAGCTCTGGTCTGGTCGATACTGTCAGGCTAGACTTCACCTCCAACCACGGAAGCAACTCCCACACTTGTATCTACCGGTTCAGGGTTCATGGACGTGCACCAGACCCAGTCTCTGTTGTGGAAACCCATTCTGATCAATGATCAGAACAAACTGAATATAAACCTCTTGTGTTTTATAACATTTCTTTGTCCACATTTCTTTTGTTGCCTGTTATTTTTTTGGAAAGAAAAAGAAAGCATCAGATTCTGTGATAAGACCAGTAGTGAATTGTTTGGTTTTTACTTGTCTTCATTATGTTATTACCTTTCGGTTTATTTGGTTTCAGGATTCTTAAATTTGGGACTCGAAAAATAATAAACTAGAGGTAATTAGGTTTGCAACAACAACAAAAATATTTCTTTTAAGACCCATTAAGTATAATCCAATTGATTTTGTTTTTACATGATTTGATAATTAACATATCATCTTAGAAGATGATAAAAATACTACGATGATATACAGACTATATACAGAGACTATATATGTTAATGTCACTCAATTAAATCAAATATAGAGACTATATATGTTAGTTATCATATCAAGACTATTACCAACTTCTTTTTTTAAATTCTAGAGAGAAAAAAAGTTTTACAATAAGAGGGGGCAATTTATCATCTTTTCATTAATCCTTTGTGGTATGCAATTGAAAATGATTGTGAATTATGGTACAAATTGAAAGGGTGTTGGAATTTATGGTAGATTTCGTAAATTTCTTTAATAATTTTGTAAAAATAAAGAAATTTTCTGGTGGTGTGTTTTTCCCCTGCGCTCGAAACACTTTCTCTCCTTTCATCTCGCGGAATAATTTTCTGAGTAAATTTGTTTTTTGTTTGTCATTAGATTCTATCACACTTCTAAACACAATAAAACAGAGCAATGTGTAACACTATAGAACCTTGTGGCATTCACAACAGTATGTCGATTGAGCATTCGGGACAGCTACCATATACCCAAAGAGAGCACACCCATAACGATGATTAGGGAATCGGAATCGAAGAGGGTATCTAGTGGTCAAAATCAACAACATACACAAAGAGAATACAACACTATAAAAGAGATGGATGGATAAAGAGAAGAAGGAAGCAAAAGAAGTGAGTACAGTATTATACATGTGCACAATATTAGTACAAATACCAAGGGTCATATAAAAAAACTGCAAATCAACAACATCCACAAAGAGAAGAAGGAAGCAAGAGAAGTGAACCAGTGTACAAAGGATAAGGTTTACATAATACGATATATTTGCTTATATAACAGAGAAAGAAAATATAAATACGGTAATACACTAGTGATAATTCCATGCTTAAATGTAGGAATCATCAACCACTCTTTTTCACTTTTTTTTTTTGCGAAATTGCTTTAAAAATTCAAATTAAGCACATTTCTTTTTCTATTTTTTTTTCTTAAGTCACTTTTTTTTTTAGAACAAATAATCATATGCTATGAAAATCAAAATATCTAGCCGATTAGTAAATCAAAATATGATCATAGCATATCCAGCCGATTTGTAACAAATGGAGGAAACTCGAAATAAAAGTAACCAACGAAAATCAAAATACGTTTTAGGAAGAACTCAAAAACAAAATGGCAAACAATGTCCTTCCTGCGAATTTATGGAAATAACTATACTATATTACATTTATAGAATATGTATATATACACCTGAAACAATTAATTGGTTATCGTACTTCATTTTTGAAATATTAATATAACAGAATGTTTCTTTTTTATTTATTTGTTAATTGAGTTGGCATATGTAAAGATATTTTAGAACTTGTATAAGGACCCAACACCATAGTTATAGGAAAGTATCCCAACTACAAATCAAACTCTGCAACAAAGTGTAGAACCCTAAACAGACATACAAAATAACTCAAATTCATTGACAAAACATCAGCATTAAAAAGTAAGTTGAGAATGTATAGATTGTTAATACAAGACGCGAGGCGAATGGAGTTGCTGACAAATTGGCTCACTTAGGAAGATCACAATATCAATCATGTTGTATTTATGATGTTCCTCCAATTTGTATCTATAGTCTTCTCTGATATGTTCTTTGTACAAACTTTATCTTAATAAAGAAACAGATGTT